TGATGCTGCCTGGCCTGCTGTGTTCATCCAGCTCTATACCTTGTTGTGTTGTAATAGTCTGCTTGTATCAGTTTGTAATTAAATCAGCACATTCTAATCCTCCTACCTGCAAGTGGCAATAAAGACTGTTGACATAAATTCCTGAAGGAGTTTGAATCTGCTGTTTTATCTACAAACACAAACAACCCATCCTCAGTCAGCAACAGCAATATTAAACTTGGATCATCAGTTCTGTCCTAAATCATTATACGTGTTTCACAAGGGTGCTTTCATCGGTCTTTATTGAATAACAAGCAAATATGACTTCATGGCCCATTTTTTTCCCCTCCGTAAGCTAGTGGCATTGATGCTAATGCAGCATCCTTATCACTGCCCTGATTGAGATCAGGATACTTGAGTACTGAGAGGGGATCGAGGCTGCGATTTTTTTTATATATCTGACTAATAAATTAGTCACTGCTTGAACTTAACTGAGGGATGGTAGTGCCCTCAGTCTCTGCTGTATTATACCAAGATTCCAGGTGAAGGACAAGGGTTCCAAGTGCTCAAAATGTCACCCAGACACCGGTCACAATATTTATTTCGTCGAACATAAAGCTTTTTTTTATTTTGAGTTGCAGGAAATGTTAATGCCACCTGGTTTCTGGCACATGGCACTTGTGCGATAAATACAAGTTCAGGGAAAACCAAGGTTGGCCAACAAGATGATCTAACGTCAAAGATCCCCTCGTTACTTTTTTCTGCTGCGTGGACATCTGAGATCTGTGCCTGGCAGTGGTTTCTCAAAGGGGAAGCCGACCAGTGTGCACACATCCTCCCAGCAGCTGTACAGTCGCACGGCTTGGAGGGAACATTGTCTCAGATACATCTGCAGATGTTGGAGATCTGAAATAAACGCAAAGTTCTGAAGAAACTCAGCAGGTCTGGCAGCATCTGTGGAGAGCTACAGAGTTAACGTTTGGAATCCAATAACTTTTCTTTAATTTCATGTCTCAGCCCAGGAGCTGCACCAGGGCCTGTGATTTCTGACCCTGGTCTTGACTCTGAGCCTTCCTTGGAGATAGACTCTGAAGTCCCCTATCCAGGGTATGTTCTGAATCTTTGCCACCCTTGGTGCATCCCCCACATGGTGTTCAACATGGAGGAGAAATGCACATCAGCTGAGGAGGGTTGGTAAGTGGTAAACAGCAGGAGGTTACCTTGCTCATGTGACCCAATGCCATGAGACTTCATTGGCTCTGTAGTCAACATTGAAGACTCCAGGGCAACTCCATCTCAACAGTATGCCACTGTGTTGCCAGCTCTAGTGGAGTGGGATGTACGCAGAGATGGTGATAGAGGTGTCCGTGATATTGCTAACAATATATGATCCAATGAGAATGGCTATGTCAGGCTGTTGCTTGATTTGTCAGTGAGACAGCTCCCTCTATTCTGTCACAGGGCCCTAAATGTTAGTAAGGAGGACTTTACAGTACTGACAAGGCTGTGTGCTGATGTTGTTTCTAGTGCCCTGGTGAATGATACATGCTCCAACAAGTTTCATTCCTTTACTCAAACTCTGTAGCTGACTATTAGACTGGCTTTTAATTCTAGGCTTATCGGTTTAAATCAAATTTAATTTGCTGTAGAGGGATTTGAACCCCCAAGCAACAGTTTGGGTCCCTGGACTCCTCCCCTTCCTCCTCCTCCTCCTATCTTCTTACATAGCTCAGTGTCATATTCAGATTTATTATGGCCCTGTAAAGCTCCATAGTTGTTTCATTATGTTAAATGCACTATATGAATATAAATTGTTGATTCATAGAGAGTACTCACTGCTGGCTGCCAATGTACTCAGCACTGGGTTGAGTAGAGTATGCTCAAAGCACGCAGTTCAGACAGGCTGCTCCTCCAATAGGAGACTTGCATTCAGTAGAAGGGAGCTGTGGCTGACTCCTTGTCTTGGCACTAGCTGTAATTGGAGCTGCACAAATATTATACCAGGGAAGCAAGAGGTCCCTTGACACTGCTTATAATCATAATGCTAGAGGTTAACAGGAATAAAAGAGATTATGTTGGAGATAGGAAGGCATCGAGTGAATGGGAGTATGTGACCGTGGAGGTTATTGACTTCAGGCATTGGATCCAGAGTTTGAAAAGCAATGCTGTAAGAATTTCAGTGATCGCACGTGGATAGTCAAGCTAAATGAATGCATCTTCAAAGGCTGTCTCCTCCCTAAAATAGCATCGATGTCTCTAGCCATTCAATGCACCATACCCCCACCATTAACTCATCAGCGACTCAGAACAAACTGGTGCTAATTTAAGACAGATGAGGAAGAGTTTCTCCTCTCAGAGGGTTGTGAGTCTTTGGAACTCCTTCGCACAGAGAGCTGCGGAAGAGAGTTCTTGTGTATATTTAAGGTTGAGATAGATAGATTCTTGATCAGTGGGGAAATCAAGGGTTATGGGGAAATGGGAAGGAAGGTGAATTTGAGAAATGTCGGATCAGCCATGACCCTAGTGAACGGCAGGACAGGTTTGATGAGCCAAACAGCCTATTCCTGTTCCTATTTCTTATGTAAACCATCATACCCTGGGGATTTATTAGCTTTCAGTCCCATTACTTTCTCCAGCACCTTTTTTTAAACTGATACTAGTTTACTTGAATTCTTCCTTCCTAAAAGGCCCTTGCTGACCTAGCATTTCTTGGAAATTATTTGTGCAGTTTTCTGCAAAGACAGAAGTGGTTGTGTAATTAGAAAGCATCAGAGGAGCAGGAAAGTTGATGTTTCAGGTCAGGACCCGACCCGAAACGTCAACTTTCCTGCTCCTTTGATGCTGCCTGGCCTGCTGTGTTCCTCCAGCTCCACACTGTTATCTCTGACTCCAGCATCTGCAGTTCTTACTATCTTCTAGTTGTGTAATTATTGGAGAGGATTCTGAGAGATAGTGTTTATGATTATTTGGTAAAGCACAGTTTGATTAGAAATAGTCAGCATGGCATTGTGAGGGGCAGGTCATGCCTCACAAGCCTTATTGAATTCTTTGGGAATGTGACAAAACACATCGATGAAGTTAGAGCAGTGGATGCGGTGTATATGGATTTTAGCAAGGCATTCAATAAGATTCCACATGGTAGGCTCATTCAGAAAGTAAGGAGGCATGAGATTCAGGGAAATTTGGCTGTCTGGATACAAAACTGGCTGTCCAACAGAAGACAGAGGGTGGTAGTAGATGGAAAGTATGGAGCCTGGAGCTCAGTGACCAATAGTGTTCTGCAGGGATCTGTTCTGGGACCTCTGCTGTTTGTGATCTTTATAAATGACTTGGATGAGGAAGTGGAAGGATGGGTTAGTAAGTTTGCTGATGACACGAAGGTTGGAGGAGTTGTGGACAGTGTGGAGGGCTGTTGTAGGCTGCAACGGGACATTGACAGGATGCAGAGCTGGGCAAAGAAGTGGCAGATGGAATTCAACCCAGAAAAGAGTGAAGTGATTCATTTTGGAAGGTTGAATTTGAATGGAGAATACAGGGTTAATGGCAGGATTCTCAGCAGTGTGGAGGAACAGAGGGATCTCGGGGTCCACGTCCATAGATCCCTCAAAGTTGCTACCCAAGTTGATAGGGTTGTAAAGAATGGCGTGTTGGCTTCCATTGGCAGGGGAATTGAGTTTAAGATCTGTGAGGTTATGCTGCATCTCTATAAAACTCTGGTTAGACCACACTTGAAATATTGTGTTCAGTTCTGGTGACCTCATTATAGGAAAGATGTGGAAAGATGTGGAAGCTTTAGAGAGGGTGCAGAGGAGATTTACCAGGATGCTGCCTGGACTGGAGGGTAGATTTTATGAGGAAAGGTTGAGGGAGCTAGGGCTTTTTTCATTGGAGCGAAGAAGAATGAGAGGTGACTTGATAGAGGTTTACAAGATGACGAGAGGCATATATAGAGTGGATAGTCAGAGACTTTTTCCCAGGGTGGAAATGACTATTACGAGGGAGCATAATTTTAAGGTGATTGGAGGAAGGTATAGAGGAGATGTCAGAGGTAGGTTCTTTACACAGAGAGTGGTGGGCGTGTGGAACACGCTGCCGGCAGTGGTAGTGGAGTCAAATTCTTTAGAGACTTTTAAGCGACTCTTGGATAGGCACATGGAGGATAGTAAAATGTAGGATATGCAGGGTAGTTTGATCTTAGTAGGATAATAGTTCGGCACAACATCGTGGGCTGAAGGGCCTGTGCGGTGCTGTACTGTTCTATGTTTATGTTCTATGTACTTTTCCATTCCCTCAGGTGAATCATTCTCCTGCTTTAGACTAAAAGGACCCTACAATTGCCTTCACTAATCATTTTTTTTTTACGTATTTACAGAAGCTGTTATAATCATTTACACACCAGCTGATGTTAAAGTTTTCTGTAATTTGTTTTGCTGACCTCCAAGGACCATATTTACTAGCTGCTTCCAGAAACAGAAGCCACTCAATGTGAGCAGACATTCCCAGCAGCTGCACAACCATAGGACCAAGCGGCTTTGAGGTGACATTGCTGGGGATAACACAGTATGAAGCTGGAGGAGCGCAGAGGGCCAGGCAGCATCAGAGGAGCAGGAAAGTTAATGTTTCGAGTCGGAACCCTTCTTCGGAAATGAAACGCCACCTTTCCTGCTTCTCTAATGCTGCCTGACCCACTGTGCTCCTCCAGCTCCACACTGTGTTGTCTCTGACTCCAGCATCAGCAGTTCTTACTATCTCCGACATTGCTGGGGAAACCCTTTTAGGTGTGGTGCAATTCAGAGTTGACATTCAGTGTCCGTAAAGCAACATGATTGCAATCAATTGCACCCTGCAGCAGGGAAGAAACCTACAGTCCAATTGAAGTCCTGTGACTGTTTTGTTGTGTTGTCTCATCCCTCCCTAAAACAAGTTAGACAGCTCCAACCAGAATGTTGTGAATGAATTTGCCCAGGTATCCCCCAGTACCAAAGCAGTCAAATCACTATGAACACAAGGCAGTACCAATGCAAAACAGTCCCAACTTTATTAGGGAAGAAGTTACAATAGTATTCTTTTGTAGTTAAAGCTATCTCCAATCCTATTCAGGCCCTTAAGTTTACAATATGTCCCATGTCTCTTGTAGATTTGTGCAGTCACACTCTCTCTGTGGGACTGCAAAGCTGCTTTTGTTCTTCCTTTCGCTCTCCCAACGGTAAGCTGGTCTCCGTCTTTGGCTATGCTGGTCTCCTCAGAAGGCCTGCAGGTAATACCGGTTTTTATGTCTTTTTGATGGTTTTCTGGAATTTTTTAATAGTTCTGGCCAATCATTTGGGGAGCTCGTCTCTTTGTGTAGCAGAACCCAGTATCTTTCTGTCTGGTCCTTCTTTTGTTCAGCGGATACATTGTTGGGGGTATGACTCTCCAGGATAACTGTTGCCTTTTATATTAGTATAACGTCATTAGCACCTGGCTGCTGTGTTTGCACTGTGCCTAGTGTGTGGGTTTTGTAATTTCAGAGTTTCACTTGGCCAACGCATCCAGTATCCCTTGCTGTTTAGCCAAATTTGCAATCTGTTTTAGTAGCAGGAGGCTACTGCAGCTCTGACAAGAAAGAATTAAAATCTTCAGTTGTCTCCAAGCAGAGAGTCTCAGTGACCTCCTTCTTGCAATGGTGAATGGTAAGCTGGACAATTTTGCAAGTAGACACAACCTCTCGCAATGAGCCTTTATGGATATGAGGGTGACGTGACCATGTTCTGGGTGGCTGTAGCAGGTGCCAGATTTCTGGGAAGACAGCCTGAGTTAATCAAGTCATGTAAACCAGTGCTCAAAATACATAGGGGAAGGTAAGTGAACTTGCACCTTAAATCCCCCAAACTCCTCAAGAAAATTCAATCATAGTCAACCAATCAGAAAAATTTTACTCTCTGCCCATGAGTAGGATTGATAGAGCTGATCTTGGGAACCTATGCTGGAAGCTACCAAACACTTCTGTACCAGTAATCAACCTGTACAAATATTTTGACATACCTCTGGGGCAGATGGAACCTTCTGCCCTATAGAAAGGGACAAACTGCCAGTGTGCCTCAACAAATTCTTTTACTTGGTTTAAAATCAAAATTAACCAGGTTAGAGCACCCTCTGGTGGGGTAAGCAAGCAACTTTATTTTTCTGAAGAAGGGTCCAGACACAAAACGTCAGCTTTCCTGCTCGGCCTGTTGTGTTCATCCAGCTCTACACCTTGTTATCTCAGATTCTCCAGCATCGGCAGTTCTTACTATCTCCAACTTCTACAATTGGTTCTGACTGGCTACAGCTGCAATCAGCAGCGAACCTGAAATCAGCCGAGTATCCTTTTAATTGCTGCTAGTAGAATGTTCTGCTGAACATTTATGCAGACAAGTTTGCTGAAGCATTGAGCTTCAAAAACACCACTGATGTCATTATGCATTGCCTATTGATTGACAATCATGATTCTTTTGATGCTTTACCAATATCCACTACAAACCCACTGACTCTCAGTTACCTTGATGAAAAAATCCTCACACCCCACTTCCTGTAAAAACTCTTCTATTCTCTCACTTGCTCTGTCTCCCTTGTGTCTGCTCCGATAATGCCAGATTCTACAAGGGGCCTCTGAAATGTCCACCTTATTCCACAACCAAGATTTACAAAGGCCCTCAGCCATGTCAGAGGCATCTCCGTTACTTCAGCCCTCTCCCCTTCTCATCCCTCCCACAGGATAGGGTACCCCTTGGTCCTCACTTACCACCTCACCAGCTCCTATTGGCAAGTAGAGTATAATTGAAGGAGGATAGGCTGGTGTAAACTAAATACCAATAACACATCCAATTATTTCCTCACCATGCACCAAAAGACCAGGTCAGTTAGCTCAATTGTTTGGCTGATTTGTGATGCCAGGAGGTACCAATAGCATGCATTCAATTCTTGCACCAGCTGAGGTTACCATGAAGGATTCTCCTTTCAGCTTCTCCCCATGCCCAAGGTATGGTGATCCTCAAAAATTAAATCACCACCAATCATTTCTCGAGAGAGAGCAGCCCTATGGTCCATTAGGTCTATGGCAATTTTACCAAAGTTAATTACAACCAACAGACCGTTGGACAAGGATCAAAAGCTGGACATGTTGTTCCTACATTGCTACACCAACTAACAGTGAACATCTCAAAAATAGAAAGAAGTTAGGTCTTCCTCATTTGTATGGTTAAATGCAACACTCTACATCCCAGGGAAAAGCTGGTGATGCTGACAGAGTATTTTAATATGTCAACAAATCAGACACAATTAAAGGTTTCATTAGTAACATTTCTGGTATTGTTTTAAATATCACACCTATACACAGTTCACTTAAAATTGTATTTTTACAATCTGAATCTGATAAAGTACAGAATCAGATTTTTTTTAAAAAAAACACAGAAGTTCAGTATTTGCATACTCAACTGTTGGGGAAAACAAGCCATTGGCTTAAAACCCATGCTGCAACCCCAAACTGATTAGATCACATCTAAAAATGTTCCATTATTTAATTCTTGAAGACAATTCTGTAGTCACTCTGCAGTAAATGAAGATTATGCCTGCTTTGTCCGTTCGATTGTTTTTACGATTTCTTTTGACGGGGTTTTAAATGACTTTGCATCATACAACCATGCTGTATCAATTCCCTTTCCAGATTCACAAACAGCCATCCAGCTGGGAAATGGAAAACGACAGGCTACAACTCTAGCATTGCTCCTCAGCTCCCTCTGAAGTTTCTCCTCCAAGGACGTCATCTGGAACATTGGAAAATGCAATCAGAAAATTCCCTGCTAATGCTGTTCCTAAATTAAAGAAAAATATTCAATTGTACTTCAAAACAAAATTTTGCATCTAATACAGAGACAGTCTTTTACTAAAACACACTTTTAGATAGACAATTATATTTTGAATTCCAATTTCTTAATTAATAACAAAACCAACTTCTTTCAGCACTGTCTCTATTAACCCCTCTATTTAAGAGGTGGTGATGGCCTAGTGGTATTATCACTGGACTGTTAATCCAGAGACCCAGACAACATTCTGGGGACCTGGGTTCGAATCCCACCACAGCAGATGGTGGAATTTGAATTCAATAAATATCTGGAATTAAGAATCTACTGATGACTGTGAATCCATTGTTGATTGTTGGGGAAAAACCCATCTGGTTCACTAATGTCCTTTAGGGAAGGAAACTGCCATCCTTACCTGGTCTGTCCTACATGTGACTCCAGACCCACAGCAATGTGGTTGATTCTAAACTGCCCTCTGGGCAATAAATGCTGGCCTAGCCAGTGACACCCACATCCCGTGAAGTGAATTAAAAACAGTCATCTGATGCTGACTGGTCTAAGATCAGGAGTTCATGTTTGAGGTTGACTCAAAACATGTGATTCCTTCTTTTCACTTTATCTCCTCACACACTTCTGGTCTCGTTATGCCATTGAAAAATGGCTAGGGGTTGAGGGGTCGAGCTATGGGAAGTAGAAGCCAAACTAAATTTAAACAGGTCTCCGACATGTTTTATAAGGGAATGAATGGAGTATTACCACCTATCTCAGAGCCAGAAGGATCAGGTTCAAGCCCCACATTATATAATAAAATGTCTGAACAGTCTGGTTAGAAAATACCGATAAGGGAATGCATTAAGCTTCACCTAATCTGATTGTGTCACAACGACTTAGGTGGGGAAAGTTTAAACATTTTAGAATCTTTAAAAGGACAGACCAATTATTATAGGCCTCTCCATAGTAAAAATATCTATCTTATTAATGTACAAAGACAATGAACCCAATTGCAAATACACAATAAACTATGTCTTGTTTAAGACAAGACTTTCTTCTCATTAGACTACCTACATGGCTCTTCTCTACCACTTTAAACAAAATTAGCCCCGTAAACCCAGTCAGAACGAGATGGTGGCTGCATTCTCATATGATGCAATCAACCTTGGAAGCAAGAGATAATAGAAATTTATTAGCATTTAGATAAACCAAAACTGGAAGCACATTAATCAAAAATGGAAAAATCATTTTTTTCAAAACCACATATATATATGGGCTCCTAGCATCAATCATACCATCATCAGGCTGATAGGAAAAAGAAAATAAATAAAACAGTAAGCAAGCCATGCCAACTGCAAATTGCTGCATTCAGGAGAAGTGACTAAAACATGGTACAACCCCCTTGGTTGCAGATTGTGTAGGCATTAAAGTAATCTTAATTTTTTTTGCAAAAAAAAAGATAATTTAGCAACTTTTTCTTCCAATAACTTCATGGTTTCTTGAGAAACCTAAAATCTAGTACAATATCACATGATTATGACCACTATTCAAAAAGTTATTTCACAAAAGGTATAATTTAAGTTCTTCATGTCATCACCACAGGATTCAGGAGAGCTACTGCTATTATTTTTGTGTATTCATGGGATGTGTGTTTCACTAGAATAGTCTAGCATTTGTTTCTCATCCCTAATTACCCACACGGCAGTTAAGAATCAACCACATTTCCATAGGTCTGGAGTCAGATGTAGGCCAGACCAGGTAAGGATGGCAGATTTCCTTCCCTAAAAGAGTAGTAATGAACCAGGTCAGTTTTTGTGACAAATCAACAATGTTTGTCATTGGGCTAGCTTTTTCCTTATTCCAGGTTTTAGTTGAATTAAAATTTTAAACATCTGCCATTGTAGGAGTCAAAGCCATTTCCCCAAATATTAATGTGGGGTTCTGGATTCCTAATCAAGTGATATTCCCACTACACCACCATCTCCCATAATTGATTTTTTTTAAATCCACAGTCAATCACTGTTTAATTAATGCCAATTTGTGATAAGGACTTACTGCCAATAGAAAATAATTTGAACAGAATTAAACTTTCACTTTTAAAAAAGCAAAATACTGCAGGTACTGCAGATCTGAATTAAAAACAAAGTGCTGTTGAAGCTCAGCAGGTCTGACAGCATCTGTGGAGAGAGAAACAAAGTGAATGTTGAGTCCACTAACCCTTCAGAAGTGAAGCAGCTCCATTTCTCTTTTACTGAAGAGACTCACCATCAGAAAAAGGCAACTATAATCTGGTCAGTCATTCTGCACTAGATTCAAACCCAAGATCTAAGGCTTGAAATAGCATGCCATTTCCTTTACAATTGACTCAATTTTTAAAAAATTTTTGTGGTAAGATATCAATAGAGTCAACCTTCAAACATAAAACATTCTAGTTTTGCATGTTAGAAATATCATTGATACTTTGGCAGGAAAGTTTGAATAAAATGATGAGGTTCTCTAATGTAGACCTCATCAAGTGAGGTGCTAGACCAGGAAAAGAATTTACCAAAAATGTATCCTATGTCTGTACATATCACAAGAATTTAAGAACTAAATTATTAAAATCAAACTCACCATTTGAGGAACTCCAAATATGACAACATTACTATATTCTGAGAAATCAACCTAAAAACATCGTACAAAAACAATTATCCACATTGAAAAATAACAGTATGTAATACATCATTATTGCTCTGCTGTCCAAGAGTTCCTGTACCTTCCATAAGTCAGAGATGTAAAATCTGGTATTGTGGTGCACTCCTTCCTGCCATGCTTTGTATCTAGAGTACCAAACCAACCAAGGATTCAGCTCATAACCCACAGCTCGAAACCCTTGCTTTGCTGCTGCAATTACCTATAAAGTTAAAAGAACATATCATAAAACCTAGTAAATAGATTGCCGGTTAACCCACGAAGATAGTTATACAATTTATACGAGACAACAATAGAAGCTGGTCATCACCATGTCGCTATAAGTGTTTTGCCCACAAGTTCCATATTACAGTGACCAATACAGTAAGTTTCATATACAAAATATTGGAAAATTTAAAGTCCTTCCCTAATAAAACATTTAACACTCAATTAGTATTAAAATATTTCAAGAATAGTAATATTCTGAATAAGAAAAAGAGGTCAATTTTTACCAAATCCATCCCAAAATGTAGTGAAAACCCATAAGCTCAAACAGTATCTTGGCGATCACAATTCAATGCAAAAGTTTTTGTGGCATGGGTGCATCAACTAATCAAAAATTCACTTGTTAGTAGATAACTTGAGTACTGCTGGAACAAACGACATACTGCCAAAGCTTTGCCTTGAATTCATTGGGGTAGTTGCAATAATGCCAGATTTGAAAGGGAACAAAAATTTATACTGCATGAGAAAACAGATGCTAATTGGTTGGCATGTGAACTCTAATTGGCTGAGACATGCCACAGTAACACACTAGGTAACAATGTTCCACGGGCATTTGTTTAACTTAATTAAGCAAGTGCTACCTAATCACAGACTCATATACAACAGTAGACACTTTATTTTGGGTTTGCAATGCAGGCTGGTTGAGTATTGTCTGTTATAAACAGCTGAAGGAGGATGGTCTTTGACTCAAATCCAGCCAAATGATACGATATGCTGTCTACATTCCAGTGGTATTACATTGGCATTGCAAAACCCAGACAAAATATCTACCATTATATGTGATTCTGCATTTGGGAGTACTTCCTGAACATACCCAAGTGTGCTGACAGCGTCACTAACAGCCACGTCAGGTTCACAACGTGGCTCACTTACACTTGTTAGGACACAGACACGCACACACGCACCACCTGTTCTGAATTACCTAAAGGGTTAGGGAGCATATAGTTCTGTTGTTTCCTCCATTAACAATGCCTAAGCCAATCAATGTCAACTGCCCAACAAATCAGCACTCTTTTTCTGCCTGTGGTATAATTATTGCAACCGTTTGCGATTTTGTATTCTTGCATTTATCTGGATGAATGCAAAACAAAAAGCTTCAGTAACACGTCTCTCATTTTAGCAATATGCTTTTCTGTACTAGCAAGCAAACATAATATTAATTAATCTGTTCAACAAAAAGAATCAAAACCAAGTTGTGCTTTCACTTGGAGCAGAGATGGAGGACAGTTGATTCAGCACCACTTTAGTCACATTCAGACTTTTTTTATATAATAAATCCCTATGTCCACAATTATAACTCAAGTAACGTACATCAGTGTGTTGTAACTATAGCTTCCCATTATTGATTGGGCTTTGGAACATCCTGAGAATGTGCTTTATAAATGCTAGTTCTACCTTCCATACTTTGATCATTTTTTTGTAAAATCTTCCTGTACATTAATGAACTATTTTCTTAACCCTTTGCCACATAAATCACTCTCCACCACATTGTGACACTGTAATCTTCAGAAGTTTAACTGTTCATGGAGTGAAAGTATGAGCAATAACTCTTTCAGGAATAAACTGTTTCTGGAGATAAAAAAGGACAAGAACTAACTGTATAAAGAAATGAAAAGAATATGCCAATTAACCATCCCTGGAAAAAAAGGAAAAAAGCAGTCAAAGCTACATGAGCTACATTAACGGCTTCATAACCAGCTACCTTATGCCACAGGAGAATTTAAGGAGTTAAATGGCAAGACAGGCTTTATTGCAAACACACAGCTAACATTAAAGCAACAAGGAATAGAGAAGCTATGCCTAATAAGAAAGCAAGCTACAGACTTGGTGACTTCAGAAAAGTCACAAATAACCACACCACAAGCTTAACAAAACAGAAAATCCTATAAAAATTCAGCCTTCAGGATTCTTCAGCAGAACTCCAGGGAATCACGCTTCACAAGAATCAAACGCCGGACATATCCCGGGACAGATGTGGTTGTTGTAGCTAAATTTCACGAGTAATATTTTAAGGGTACAAAATTCCTTATTTGTGGCAGTACATGCTTTTTATTTGCTTTTTTTTTAAAAAAAATTCATGGATGTAACTTTTCCCAGAAATTCATCATTGGGATTTCTAAAACTGTCACTTCCAAATTACACCTACAATAAACCACAAGCAATACCACCCTCCAAAATAAAAAAGAACACATATTTCCTAAAGTGACACCAATTCTGAATAAGCCCAAACTTTATACACAAATATCTTCCCAACCTAAAATCAGCACAATTGAAGAGTTTTAAACTTGAAAAGGCCCCAACACCATTTTTTGCCAATTTATAGCTTTCTTGCTGATTTTTCTCCCCAAGAGTAAATTCTTATTACTCCCTCCTTCCCACTCTCTCTTTCTTGCTCACTCCTTTCCTTTCCTTTCCTTCCCTTTCTCCTCTCTGTCTCTTCTTCTCCTCCCCATCCTTCGCCACCTTCATCCCTATTCTCTGCCCTGCACTCCACAATCCCCTCCCAGCTTTCTCCCACCCACACCACCGCCTTTCTCTTCTTTTCTACTTACTTACATTTTGTCACTCTCCCCTTGACTTTTCACCTACCCCTCTCTCCTAAGCACTCCCGTACCACACTCTCCCACTCCCCTTTGGCATCTTGCTCCCTCCAACTCCGCTTCTTCCCCACCCTCATTCCTTATTCCTCCCTTCACATTTCCTATTACCCCTACCCACTCTATCTTCCTGCCCCCTTCCCACTCCTCCTTCCCCTACCCATTTCCCTTTCCTTCAAACTTTCTCCCTCCCGTCATCCCCTCCTCCTCATTTCCTCCCCCACATTCTCTTTCCTCCTTTCATACTGCCCCTTCCCTATTCCCTCCCGTACCTCCTTTACCTCCCCCCTCCCTCACCATCACCCCTCTCCCCTGCCCCTACCTCCCATCTACTTTTCTCCCCCTCCCCATCTTTTCCCATTTCTTTACCCCACTGCTTTCCACTACCCCCACTGGCCTTGCGCTGACTTCCCCCCCTCCCCTAATCCTCGGTCACTTACGATCCTGCCGTCCCCGCTGCCGATATCCACCAGCTTTCCCCTGCGGCCTTTCAGCATCTGTAGCACCGTCTCCACTTGGGCCGGGCTGGCAGGGACGAAGGGGAGACAGACCCTCCTCAGAGCCGGGGCCACAAATGGAGCAGCGCCCAGGGACAGTGCGAGACCAGCTCCGCTAACAACTCCGAGGAGGGCCAGGCCCCAGTGCCGCTTGCGGCCCGATCTCGTCCCAGGGATCAGATCCGACATTCAATGAAATGAGCGGACTCCGCACCGGACGGAATGATTATGTCGAACGCTGTCACATTGAATTAGGTCCGGGTGGTCATCGCTTGTGAGCTGTAACCATGAAAACCCTTCTCTTTCACGTGTGAAAAATGCACCCCTCCCCATCTCGGATTTTCCTCTCAAAATAACCATGAAGCTAACGACCCTCACGATTCACAGCTTTCGTAAATGCCCAGTATGAGTTTGGGCTTTGGACGGAGTGCAGAAGAGGTTTACCAAAATGGTTCCAGGAATAAAGATTGGAGAATATGTGACTATTTTCCTGAGAGGGGATTCTCTCCCTGCTTGTTGGAGTCATACCTAATACCCAAATGGTTGCGGTTGATGGAGGTCGATAATCCCAGTCCCAAAACAGCAGTAGTTCCTCAGGGTAATATCTTAGGCTCAACCACTTTCAGAAACTTCATCAATGACCTTCCCTCAATTCTAATGTTAAAACTGGGCATGTTTTCTGATGATTGCAGCATGTTCACCACCATTAATGACATCTCAGACACTGAATTAGTGTGTGCTCTAATGCAGCAAGACCTGGAAACATCCAGTCTTGGGCTGATTAAATGACAAGTAACATTCATACCATACAATTGCCAGGCAATGACCATCTCCAAAAGACCATAAGACTTGGAAGCCGATGTAGGCCAGTTCAGCCCATTCAGTCTGCTCTGCCATTCAATTGTGTCATAGTTGATCTGAAAATCCACAATTCCACTTTCCTGTCTTTTCCACGTAATACTTAATTCTCTTATCTCTGTAGCTACATCCTTTAATATCCAGGATGTATCTCATCAGGTCCAGAGGACCTATCGGTCTTCAGCCCTACTAGTTTCCCTTGCACCTTCTTTCTAGTGATGGTTATTCTATTTATTTCCACTCCTCATTTTCTCCTGTCTTCTGTTATGAAGACTGAGGCAAAGTATTTATTCAACTCTTTTGCCTTTTCCTGGCTCCTCATTATTATTTCCTCAGCCTTATTCTCTAAGGGGCCCATGTTCACTTTATGGCTTTTCTTTTCCTTTCTATAACTTTAAAAAAAAACAATACGTGAAGAGTCTTTTGACAATACCTTTCCAAACCCACAATGCTGATGTTAGGTCTCATATTTTTCCAATGAGAGTCTGAGTCCAGTGGTAGATTCAGGTACAACTTTATTTTGGTACAATTTAGTTACAGCTTCAGATTTTCTTCTCAGTAAGGCACACAAAAACTTCAGATTGTATACAGTTAAAACTTACAGAGCACATCCCCCCCCACGTACTATTGGTCAATGGTGCTGGGTTACCCCTCGGTGATTGGCTCTCTGGTACAGCATCTTAAAGAAATGGACAGGCTGGTAATTCAACCCTGATCTTGATATTTTCACAGACTTTAATGATAAGGGAGCCACTTATATTGCCTGAATCTTTCTTTTGGTAATTTTTTTCTATATATGTGGATCTATAGCGACTAAAGAAGAATCTTGACTAAAACCTACTCCTAATATTGTAACAGGTTGATTTAATAATTCAAGAGAAACATCTACTTTGTGTAAAATATTCTTATCTATGTAAGGAACTGCAGCAGTACATTACATCCCAGCCAGTAAACTTGATTAAACAGTCTTGCTATTGTTCCACTTGCTGAGACTACATTAAGAAAACATTGTTCTAAGGCTCTCTATCTATTGTCAGCCACATTCTGCTGCAGAGTTAGTCAGGGGCAGTTAGTGACCATTTTGTACCACTCTGATATGGGCATCCCTAACAGCTGACCACCTAGGACAAGGTGCAGATGTCTGGGAACTCCACCTCCTGCAAGTTACACATTATCCTGACTTGGAACTATCACCATTCCTTCATTTTCACTGCATCAAAATCCAGGAATCTGCTTTCTACAGCTCAAGGACTACAATGGTAGAAGCAAACTGCTCACTACCACCTTTCCCAGGGTAATTAGGGGTGAGCAATAAATATTGGTATAGCCAGCAATGCCCACTTCCCATGAACAAATTTAAAAATGAAACTTATAAATGTTGATGTTCATAAAGACTTGGGTGTACTTATATAAAGAATGCAGAAAATTAATATGAAGTCACAGCAAACAATTAGGGAAGTAAATGGCCTGCTGAACTTTATTACAAGTGCATTAGAATACAACATAAAGACATCTTGGACAGACCTTTTGAGAGACCACATCTGGAGTACTGTGTGTAGTTTTGGTCTCCATATTTAAGGATATGCTTTTCTTTGGATATGTTACAGTGATAGTTCACCAGATTGGTGTCTTGAATGAGCAGATTGACATTTGAGGCTGAATAAATTGGGTCCACATATAAATTAGGATATTCTCTTATTGAAATGTATAAAATTCTAATGGGACTGAAGAAGTTCATGGTTTAAGGTGGCATGGTGGCTCAGTGATTAGCACTGCTGCCTCATTTGAGGGCTGGGGTGGACAAAATTTTGATCCTGGTCATGGGGAGCAATTGGGAAAACAGTCAAGGCCAAAGATTAGCCACTATCATCTTAAATGAATGGAATATTTTCAACAGGCTATATGGTCTATTCCTGCTCATATTTGTAGTCTGTCAGCATTCTGAAAAGATCACTAGCTCGAACATCCTTGGCTCAATCACCTCAAACATTTCCACTCTTTCCATGGCATTTATCCACACAAGTGCAGAAGAAGCAACAGAAGATTATCTCCCTCTTTCTCATTATCCAAGATTTCAAGCATTATTTCCAGGTAAAACAGCGATTTATTTGCACTTTAAACACACTATATTCACTGCTAATGAAGTGGTCTCCACTAAATGGGGAGAAAAAACACAAAATGGGTGACTGCTTCGCAGAACACGTCATTAAGTCTGCAAAAATAGCCTCAAGCTTCCAGTAGCCTGTCATTTAATTTTTGACCTTGCTCCCATGGTGAATTGGTGTTCTAGTGGAGATTAAGGCCAGCTTGAGGAATAGCACTTCACAGCTTTCTAGACGAATCACGAAGATCAACAATTTTAAATGGTCGCTACAGGTCCCATTTTGTTTGATGCCTTTTTTGATGAATTTTCTTTCTCCTCTTGTTTTGCAAACTTTCTTTCTGCGTTCAGACAGCAGGTATTCAAGATCTCATCTTACACACTCTCTTTGTCTTCAGAAGTTAAGCACAAATCCAACTGCAATAATAGCAAATGCTGAAAATCCTACGTGACCCACAGGGGACGTAGGTAGTGTTTATTCCTGTTGCCTCTTTTTGCTATTTTGCATGAGCCTAGGCAAAACGATTGGTGACATCCCACAAAACTGAGTAAATTGGTTATACACCACATCTCAAGATTCCATTTGTGCATCAGTTTAAGCAGAACTGGCAGCCTAGATATTCCAATGGTCACATAATCATTTTTGCAGTAGATGTGAGTTGTGCACAGGGACTGTACATAATCCCCATCATAGAATACTCAAAGCAGACTGTCCAAGAAATGGAGATTTTGCTGTGCAATTCCCTTATCTGGAACCCTCTGAAAGTATTTATTTAAAGTTTTTGAGAAGATTTGTAGCTCAGGTTGCCAGCAATCTGAGGCATATAAATAACAAGTAGGACAGAACACCAACGCTTCACCGGAGGTGCTCTGACAATGTTATCTAGCAAGGTGACGAAACATCTACAATCAAACACACCGGTTTGGCAAGCAAATCTTCAACCTCAGTATCTATTTAAATCGTAGAATCTGGAGGGTGTCAATGCAATTAAGTAAAAAGTTACTCAAGAAAAGTTAGACTATTAAATACCTAATCTAACTCCTGAATAACTATTTAGCTGAGCCCCAACTTACTGCATACACTCAATTACAATTCACCCAAATCTTTGAAACTCCCCTGGACCCTGACCAAGGCACTCGCCTCCATCCAGAACACCTCGCTCCGTCCCTGACACCCCGTTCCCCCAATACAGACCTCCTACAAACTTGACACATCTTTCTCCAGCCTTTGGACCAAACTCATTCCTCCATTTGGGAACCCATTCCCCAGTACATGGACCTGGCACACATGTTCCTGCTCTGGACCCAACTGTACCCCCTGACACACAACCACTCTAGACCTTGACATCACGCCTCTCCCCTTACCATTTGCCAGAGGTGAACCCCTTATGCCCCTGTGTAGTCTCTTTGTCTCATTACCCAACTTCACATATCCCCCCAACACAACCACAGCAACACATCATCCCCTCACCTCCTGCCAGAACTGTTTTCTCCCCTTGCTACCTTGAGCCCTAGTATCCTATAGGCACCATTTACTCCTTTCACAGGAGCTGTCGAAGTGACTGTGATCTGAACTGCTGTAAAAAAAAAAGCAGACCTTAGAATCCCTAGTGTGGAAAGAGGCCATTAGGCCATAAGAGTGTACACCAATCCTCTGAAGTGCATCCTACCCAAACTCAGCCCCTTACACGCCACTCTGCAATTACCAAGGCTAATCCACTTAGCCTGCATATCCCTACGCACTAAAGGATAATTTAGCGATAGTAAGAACTCCCGATCAGAGATAACACAGTGTGGAGCATGCCATGCAGAATCAGAGGAGCAAGAAAATTGAAGTTTCGGGTCGGGACCCTTCTTCAATCCACCTAACTTGCCCATCTTTGCACTGTGGGAGAAAACTGGAGCACCTGGCGAAAGCCCTTGCAAACATGGAGAGAACATGCAAACTACACACAGTTACCAAAGTCTGGAATTGAGTCTCTGACGCCGTGAGGAAGCAGCAACCCCAAGCCACCATACCTTCCCTTACTATCTTTTCTATTTTCCGATAAACCAGCTCAAAGATGTTACAACACACCTCTAATGCAGTGGGACCCGAACACGGTCCTCCTACGTCAGAGGCGCGGGCACTACCACTGCCCCACTATACTACACTGGAAGTACAGATTCGTATTTCCGAAGGAGCCCTGATTAGGAAGCTCCAGGCAGAAATGTAGGGCCGGGTCGTTTTGTTAAAAGAGTTAGAGAGGCAATCTACTTGTGATATCTGCTCCTCAGAAAATCCAGCCCAGATAGCCCGAACCAAACAAAAAAGAGGGAAAAAATAATAAACGCCACCACCTCACTGACCCGAACCACCACGCCCTCCCCAACGGCAGTTCCTAATCTCGCGAGAACCAGCAGGACCTCTGATCAAACCATTATTACGCCATCTCCACTACATTTCACTGAATTTTTTTTAACACAGACCTGGAATTATTAGACATACAATTACATTTTGAATTCTATTCGTTAAGAATAGAAACAAACAGCGGTCAAAGTTGTTAGTGTTGACCCATTTATCAGT